AATGACATTTAAAACTAATATGAGGTAGTAGCATTTTTCTAAACAAGTGTTATCCATGTGNTGTGCCTGTATTCATTAACCCCCTATACTAGTAAACAAGAACCAAGTGACTTAAATCATAAACCTCATGTACCAAGAAGCAAAGAACTAACAAAAATCAAACACAAACATGAATATAACAAAAACTTACTAACACAATCCACCAATTTTAACATTGTGGACATGTATGTTCAAGATAGTAATGTAGCACAAATCATGAAAGAATCGTATCTCCAATTCTTTCCTAGTAAAGAATTTGCTCGCCATTAGCCAATATTCTGACCAAACAAGTTTTGATGGCATCCTCCTGCATCGTGAAATTTATACATATATTGATATCAAATTTAAGTAATTTCATTACATCTTATAAACAAGAAATAAAAGAAAATGTAATAGGAGTATAACAAAATGCGTACCTGCTAAGTCCAAAAACAATGCACATGTATCTTCCAGAATTATAAATTGAAATGAAACATCGCAATCATTATCTATTAAATTTATTTAGTAATAGATTTGAAATTTAACACAACAATAACAACAAGTGAATCAACACTAATAGAGTTTTTATCTTACACAACTCTGAAGAACATATTGTGTCCATTATTCTCGAACTTCATTTACTTGATCCACAGATAATTGAATGCACTTGTAACAAGGAAAGTGCTACAAAATATAACATTATTAATTACAGTTTAACCAATATACCAAAAAATGAGTGGGTAATGGAATGACAAGAAAATAACAAGGAAGAACATTATTGGATAGGAAGCATATCTTTTAATAGCTTTAATAATTCAGTGAAGCTCCTATCTGACCATCCACTGTTAGGTTTCAAATTATATTTCAAGACGACAAATAATCTTGTGAGTTTTGTGAAACCATCATACAGTGGTTTATGAGCATTGCTTACCAATCTATCAAACATCTCTGGACAATCACGAAGATCTTCTTCGACCATATTCGTTGTCTCATTAAGTTGGTCACACTAGTGATCCACATTTGCATAGTGATTACTTGTTAAATAATTGACATTATCTTTCTGGTCAGGATGTTGATTTCTCATCTCACCATGCTTAGCCCAACAAGTATAGCGTTGATCAATTCCATTTCATATTAGTTGATGACCAAATCATCTACACCTATCTGTTTTGAGTAACAACAATCTAAACAAGGGCAAATGATTTTATTAGGATTTTTCTGCATGTTCAACAGCAAATTTAATAAATTCTTTCACACCATCCTCATTTCTTTTGACAATCGACTAGCAGACATCAATTTTCGATCCATAACCACTTGATCTTATAAATTATGAAGAAGAATTAGTTTGGTAAGTGAAAAATTAACATCAATCTCAAAATGGACATGAAGAAAAAAACTATAGTTTCTATAGATGATAATCTCATAGGTTTCTACGATCTAGTTGCTCGACTCGGAAGGGAATGGGAAGGAAATTGGTTGACTTTGGAGTCAAATTTTGAGTCTTCGGGAGAGGATCTGTTGGTCTTAGGCGAGCCCAGCAAAGGGAGCAACGTGTTAGCTAAGGAGTCGAGCCTCTTGTCTACCGCTCGATCATAGCGTCTTTTTCGTCCATCCGAACAGATGGGTGTTTCTAAATTTTAAGATCAATGTATGTATGTGAAACACGACCCTATCGTCGCAGGTTCGACCATCGATATGGTATCCCCATCGGCGGATGTGGTTTCGACCATCGACAGTGCCTAGTGTGAGGCTTTCTTCTTTAGCCTATTTGACAGGTCATGTCTTTGGATGCAGGTTCGACCACTGACAGGTGCTCCCGTTGTGGGATGCGGGTTCGACTCACAGTGGTTAGATAGGTGTACACTTGAGCATATTGAGATGTGATATTTGTTGTTGATTCATATTCATGTTGCGACCTAACTTTCTGTTATTATATTGAATTTATGTGCATAGTGGTGAGCTAGTGGTTTGCTCACCCCCATAACCCCCCTTTCAGATTATAAAGCTGGTAGCGGTGACGATGGACAGATGGGTGGTCGTCGATTTTGAAGAAACTATTTTCATTTCGCTTCCGTAGACTTGAATTTGAATTGCTTTGAAACATGTTTTATTGAACCATGTTTGGTTGGCTAAGATTGGATTGTCATTTGGAAAATTTAGTTAAGTTGTTTATAACTCGTGATATGACAATTGGTATTGTTGAATGATTTAAACTCTTGGCTTGGTATGATGATTTGTTGGACAATGGAACCGCTGAGTTGAACGTAAATTATGGTTATATGAAATGATTTTGAGTAATGCCCATTTAATGTTTTTCAAAAAAAAAAAAATTGTTTTCTGATAAATGATAAATTATTTGTTTTAGTTAGTTGAAAATTTTAGTCCAAACAATTTACTTANAAAAATTTCTTAAAAACAACGTCGAAAAATTTCTTAAAAATAACGGGGCGTTACACACTCCTTGATATCAGACAAAACTTACAGATTGATTTTGAAATCGTGCAATTTCAGATGGCAAAACATGTCTGAGACATGCGATAATGCTATGAGTTATGCACTAAATTTAATAGTTTTATGCCAAGATGATCTTTGCACCACAAAGGACAAAACACAATTATAAATATTCTACCCACTATCAGTTTAATTCTTTCTCAGCCCTAATAGCCCTCTCATACTCTGTCCAAATCCCAATCAAGCTAAACATTTATTTACATTTGTGCATGTGCACATGATAGAACACTAGTGATTACATTAAGCTAGATTGTGCTTAATGCTAGTCAACCTCCTTGACATTTAATACTCATTAAAAGTTTGACCACCATTCAGAATGGATCAAATTACCCCTATACATAATCAACCTTCAACTCACAAGAAAATATGAATGTCTACTCTCCCACAATTCGTACCTTAACGACTAATTAATTTAAGTATGGAAACATCAATTCAGTTCTTGTAGAGTAATGTCACGTACTCTTAATAGGAATCAAATAGTGTTATTATATAGTCTACAAACTGAGAAAATAATTCATTTTTTTTAAATTAACTATGGTATTTTCGCACAACCACATAAGTTGCTATCGAGCGTCTGCATGTCTTTGGTACTCCATGATTTTTGGTGAGATATGCCAAGATTATCCTTTCTTAATATTTGTTAAATTCACACTTCTTGGGTCTCTTTTTCTTGTCCTGCCAACCACAATTGTGTTTTTGGGTAGATAAGAGTTATTATTATTATTATTGTTGTTGTTGTTGTTGTTGTTGTTGTTGTTGTTGTTGTTGTTGTTGTTGTTGTTGTTGTTGTTGTTGNCATTTAAGGAACTTGTTGGTTGTTACAAGGGCGAATTTACACTATGGCCAGCTTGGGCAATTTTTGTTGCTAAACATATGTAGTTATAATTTTTAAATAAATAGGCAAAGTTAGAAAACTTGCGAGATACAATAGAAACAATTTTAAGTTTTTTTTTAATGGTCTATATAAAACGAAGTTGAACATTATCTTTATGTTCTTTTCTATAATTAAATTGATTGAAATAAAATCGATGATCGGACTATTGCTGATCAAATAGGACAATATAATATGTTGCTTGTGCACATACAATCCTTTAATTTTATCTTTTGTCTTCTTCTAATGCGGCAAATTTTAAATGTAAGGAATGAATTATCACTAGAATTATAAAGAAATGATCAAGATATTGTCAATGCTATGAATTTGGACAGGGCAAGTAAGGTTGTGCTTATTTATAAAAAAATTAGATTTTTTTTCGTTAACTAGAGTTTATTTGAAAAATGTTAATATGATTAGTTTTTAGTGAGAATTTAAAAATGTATTAAAATAATATTTAAAATAAAATGATTAAAATTGATTTGATGTAAAAGTAGGAGATAAATGATTGGAAATTATATGTAATTAAAATTATGTGAGCGGATGAATACTGAATTGAATTTGATGTAATGTGTAAGAATGATTGAATGATATTATTTAATTATATTGATAATATTAAGAATAATGGGGTTCAACTAAAGTTGAGTTAAATTTTGAATTGAGATTGATTTTTTTTTTTCTAGAAATTTGATAAACAAGAACGGCCTAAACAACTCCAAAAAATGATAGAAGAAGAATGTGAATAGGAAAATATCTTGCAGAATGTAAATTTGATAACAGTCTTATGCCAAGATGATCTTTGCACCACAAAGGACAAAACACAATTATAAATATTCTACCCACTATCAACTTAATTCTTTCTCAGCCCTAAGCTATCCATAATTTTATAGCCCTCTCATACTCTGCCCAAATCCCAATCAAGAGGCTTCACATCTTCTAAAAAAAATTCATATTTAAATTTGTATCTATCAAACCTTGTTTGAGTTCCAAAATCTGATTTGAAATGCAATGTAATTCATACATCCTTGAAGTCTAACATTATAGGATCCTTGTACTTTGATAGTGGGTGCTCGCGTCACATGACCGACACTCGTGAGTTTCTGTCAAATGAGGAATCTTATGAAAGTGGGCATGTTACATACGGGGGAGGCGAACATGGAAAGATCATATGACGAGAAACAATCATTGTTGATGGCCTCGCAAAACTTCATAACTTGTTGTTGGTTGATGGACTTAAATCTAATCTTATTAGCGTAAGTTAATTATGTGATGATGATCTCAATGTTAAATTTGATCGTAATTTTTGTGAAGTCTTTGATGAGGCTAATTCATGTATTTTGGCATATGTACGAACTATCAAAAATTGTAATCGGGTCAAAAATGCTGAGAATGACGTTCGGGAGGCCCTTGGGCAACCCAAGAACCGGTCTAAAATTAGGTTTTTAATTATTAACAGTGTAATCAAAATTCCAACATAAAAAATAAAAGAACCCATTTTCATATTTTAGAGCAAAATTTGCAATAGGATTGAGGATATTAAATTTACAATTTAGTCAACAGTTATTAATAAAAATTGTAATTATTATAAAAATAGATCGGGTATGGTCTAAATATCAGTAAAAGCTAGTCCACAAGACTGCTAGTCCTAGAGGCTAGAACCTACTACTTGACGTGTCTCTTCGCCGTTAAAATCAAATCTCACCACTATCCCAACTACAGATCTAATAACTGCAATTCGATGAAAATCCCCGATCAGACAATGCAGTACAATAACCTGGGCCGGTCGGGCCTCAAGGTCTCGCAGCTTTCGTACGGCGCGTGGGTTACCTTCGGCAACCAGCTGGACGTCAAGGAGGCCAAATCCATCCTCCAATGCTGCCGCGACCACGGCGTTAACTTCTTCGACAACGCCGAGGTCTACGCCAACGGGCGGGCCGAGGAAATCATGGGCCAGGCCATAAAGGAGCTGGGCTGGAAGCGATCCGACATCGTCGTTTCCACCAAGATCTTTTGGGGAGGGCCCGGCCCGAACGACAAGGGCCTTTCCAGGAAGCACATTGTGGAGGGGACTAGGAACTGTTTGAAGAGGCTGGATATGGAGTATGTGGACGTGCTCTACTGCCATCGGCCGGACATTGGGACCCCGATCGAAGAGACGGTGAGGGCCATGAACTATGTGATTGATAAGGGGTGGGCTTACTACTGGGGGACCAGCGAGTGGTCCGCCCAGCAGATTACGGAGGCCTGGGGCGCGGCTCAGAGGCTGGATCTCGTCGGCCCTATCGTTGAGCAGCCTGAGTATAATCTAATCTCCAGGCACAAGGTAAATGAAATTGGAGGGGTGAGAGTGGATTTTCTAAACTTTGATTTCATTTTCTTTTCCCCTAGCGTCTTCCGTGGATCAAATAA